AAATTGTCCTGTCAGAATAAAAGAAAACCATTAAAGGCTGACTTCTGTAACGTAAGGGCTTCTTATTCCCCTCTAGCTTGGATTTTTCCCTTGGCATCAGCTGCAGCCAACACAGCTGTGAATAGCCCTGCTTTGGGAAACCCCCCAAACCCAGGGTCAACATCTGGGACCAGCAATGGGCTTTACATTCCCATAAAGCCCATGTTCTGCTTTTGTCTTTTTGCCTGCTGGTACCGAGCAGAAGTACAGTCATCTCATAACTATGGGGAACTAAAGGAGCACCATCGCTGAAGGGGGGCTCTAAGAGGCTGCCTCGGCCGGGTGGGCTGTAAATGGCCTGGCACTCAATCGGGTGGGGTTGCCTGAATTCAGTGCACCTGATTTTATGGTATTTAAGCCAGAAGCACAGTCAGGTGCCTGGCTGGTGGGTACCCCAGCTTGCTGGGGTGCAGGAGGGGCTGGGGCTGTGTTGGTGAGCTGCTAGCTCTGGTGTGCTGGAGGGAATGCTCAAAGAAAAGCTGGGGCAATGGGGAAAAGGGTTTATGAGCTTGGTCTTGCTCAGTAGTAGTGTCTCTGCCTCCAGAGCAGCAGGGAACAACCCCTGGGGCTGCTGTTGGGCCATAGCTCATGTGATGGGGAACTTAGTCACCAGCACTGGCGGAAAGGGTGGCTGTGCTTTGTGGGAGGATGGTGGCTTGCTTGTATTTCTCTGACTCTGGTGTTTGCTGGGGCTGAGTTTGTAAACTGAGTGGCCCCAACAGGGCTGAGGGTGGAGGCACGGCTCATGTCAATAAGGTGTGAATTGGAGAGCCTGTGTGGCTTCATGCTGCGCTCTTAGAGGAAATGCTTGGAAAAAAACAGACTTGTTCTCTTGCATCGCCTAGCTCCTGTGAGCAAAGCAGGGCTTGTCTGAGGAGTTTGCCCTCTGGCCCTGTAAGGCAGCGCCTGTGCCCTGGGTGAGCTCTCCTGCTGGAGAGCCACCTCTGCTCGCTCCTGTGCAGTGAGGTGGGTTGAGGGGGAAATGTTTTTCCTGCCGATAGGCTGTGAACCAGGCATATTGATTTAAATGGGCTGAAGGTTCCTGCGGGCTTTTGTGACTCAGTGCTGGTGTGGATTTCAACAGGGAGCTGTTGAGACAGAAAACCTGCAGGGTGTGACTCGGGAGTCATGCCTGGATGGGCTTGTATTTACAGATTTGGACATGGGCTGCAATGAAGCTGCTTCAGCACAAGCCCTTTAAACTCCCCTGGGCCATAAGGCTCGGGGCTTGGATAACCCATCTTCAATGAGCTGTGTGTGTCCGTGGTGGTTTTACTCTCGATACTGAGGGGGTTTTTTGTGTTCTGTGTATACATATATATATATATAAATGTGCATGCTGCAGTCACACAAAGGAGATGCATTCTCAGAGACGCTCCTGAGCATGTAACTGGTTTCAGCAGTGCAGAGGAGGAAACTCTTATTCTGGAGACAATGCAACTCAGGTACTGGCGGACACTGGCTTAACTCATATCTACAGCTTATATAGAAAGTGTCTTTAGGTATCCTGCCTCTGCTTTTTTTTAACAACAAGCTTATAAGGAGCTTTAAGCAATTAAAGTACATAGTTTTATTGAATTGTTGGGGTGCTTGCCTTGTACCTCTTCTCTATTTATTCTGGAGAGATTCAAATATCCACCTAGTTCCTGTAGATCACTGCTGTGGATTTCCTCAGCTTTATTTGGTTGAGGATCAGGGGTACTCTGCCAAACAGAATAAAGGATATTCTAAATGTTACTGTATACTCAATACTTTTGTGCAGATTTTTAAGAAAATACAAACTCAATGCATTTCCCACATGAGGAAAAAATAGGTAGAATGTTACCCTGGTTAATGTTTGGCTCAGATAGAAACATCTAACTGGTTTCAGGTGTGTCATGGGACTCCTAGTAACCCCAAGGTGTTTACTTTTTAGGGCTCTTGAAATCAGGCACCACCAGAAGCTTGTCACCTGTGGAATAAAACTGGGGCAATGGTTCACTATTGACTTAACAAATGATTCATCTGTGCTGCTGACTTCCTGCAGTGGGCAGTTCCAGCGAAATGCTCTGGCATGAATATGTGTGTGGTTAGAGCCATCTCGATCACAGCTGGAAGCATTTCATTTTGGGGCTAATGAAGCTCTGGGGATTTTGTCTTCCCTGGAACTTTTGTGGAAATTGCCAGTTGTTGCAGTGCCAGCACAGATGGAGCTGCTTCTCTGGGCTGGTATTAACACTTGATTTGAGAGGGACTGAAGATGCTGAGTGAAAAATAATGGTGGCTAGGGAAAACCTTGAGTTGTTGTCACTGCGGCAGCGAAAGTCTGATGGAGGGCCGAGAGGAGGATTTGAGTAATGGAGAGCCTACTGAAGCAACTGGCTCCCTGGAAACATGAGGAAACTTGGTAGTTATTGCAGTCAGCCTTGGATTACCCGGAGGAAGCAGACTAATCCAGACAGAGCAGACACTTGCGCAACAGAAAGATGTACAATAGGTTATGAGAGCATGTAGCAAAGGTGTAGTGGGGCTGAGTCTGTGTTGTCGTGTGGCAATGCACAGCAGAGTCAGGTTTGGAGGCACCACCCTGCTCCAGCAGCGCGTTTGAGGGCGCTGCCCCTTGGGCCTGGTCTTCAGCCGATGGAGGGCTGCATGCACGAGGGGTGGGCATGGGCCGCTCCTGGGGACAGCTCGCATCTCTGCAGCCCGGGCTGTCTGCCCATGAGGAACTGAGGTGAATGTAGTGCCATGGGCTTTGGAGCAAGTCTTCTGTTGAGGCCATTGGAAAAAAAAAGAGGGTTTTAAAAATCATGATTTGAGGGAGTGAAGTAGCTTCTCTTGAAGGGATCTCGGATCTTGATGATGAGGGATCAAGACCAAACCCTGGGACTGAGTCTGTGCTGTCTTCAGGACATGGCAGGCGCTTGAGTGCCGCTGTACACGTTAGGGTTACCGTAGCTCTGGGAATATCTCCTTTTCTTCCACTGCAGGAGAGGAAACCTGCCCAAGGTCTTAGCAGCTGCGGTGTGAAGCATGGGTCGCTTTCTCTTTGCTTGCAAGTTGGGCACTGTGGTGGTTTGGATATTCTGGACTGCCTGCCCTTTTGATTTAAAATAATACCCCTGGTGTTGCTGCTTGAACTCTGAATGACATGATTTACTGTAGCATTCAGCTGGTTTCCTGGTGTGTTTCAGTGCAACAGTTCCTGCCCAAGTACAGGATTGGTTTATCACTGACGCTTCTGCTCCCCTCTGGCTAAACGTGTCAGCCTGACCCCAAAGCCAATTCGGAAAGACGAGATGTTTTTTGAAATATCTAAGGTAGTGAGGAAGAACTGCCAGACCTCATGTCATCCTTGATCTGAATTGAAGAGTACAGGGCTGTTCGGCTCCCCAGACAAGAGAACGCATCTCCAGCCAGTAAAATTCTATTTCAAAATCTGTGACATGTCCTGACTTAAAAACATCTACACACTGATGTGATGATGTTTTAGCAGATATAAACACACTAAAGATAAACCAAAGCAAAAATCTGCTGATGTGCATTATGGGGGAGGAGTTTGAGATAATTAGTGGAATTTCAAGGCTTAAGTGTTTGGTTACAGCAGAAACTGTTGTCTTCTGTCTAAATGAAAGCTACTAAAAGGATCTTAGCCATAACATTATGCCAAAAAATACAGAGCAAAGGGAGGAAAACAAATTAATCTCAGCTTGATTTGTGCAAACACACCATAAAGACCATGAACAAAGGTCTGGGCTTGGTTATGTCAACACATTTTGTATATTAAAACATAGCATGTTTTTTCAGTAACACTGCATAATGAAATGCAAACTTCTTAAAGATGCAGCTTCTCTTTGGAGTACTTATCTTTGTCCCACGAGTGCCTGAAGACCCTACGATGGGTCAGAGCCCTGTAAAACCCAGTGCTGGTCAGTAAGAAACCAGCTCTGTTTTAAATGGTTTATAGATAAAGGAGGAAAGAGTAATTTTTCCATTCTGTAGCTAAAAATGCAGGGTGCCTCAATGAACTCTTCAAGGTGTCTCTCTATGTCAGAATAAAAACTCTGAATGTTCATGTGTTGGCTTTAAGTACTTTTCCCCACTTGGCACTGGTTAAACAGAATTAGTTGCTTTCTGTTTTCTTTTCAGATTCCTCTTTTTTGGTCCCTAACGCAGCGTACAGGGCTCGGCCGGTGGCTCGGCGGTGGACGGGGAGCCGGGGCGTGCAGGTGTCCCGGGCTGGCGTGGTTTTCCCTCAGCCTGCGAAGGCCGAGGCTCCTGGGTTTCGGTGTCGCCATCCCTTGAGGCACAACGCGAGCAGAAACACGAACAGCGGGTTTACATCCCTGACCACGACAACTTGAAAACTGGGCAAGCTTTTCCCTATTTTTTGACACTGGAAATCCCTCTAAACTCTTTTTAATAATTTAAAATGAAAATAAATGCTGGTGTGGGGTACATCTCGACGAACCCCTGACTCGGAGATACTCCATTCGGTGCTCTGAAAGCTGCGGGGCATCTCTGCGGGGCTGGATTTGGCTCTTTGTTCGCTGTTCAGTGAATCCCCGCTCCCGGGGACCCTCCTACAGCCGGAGGGTTTGTGGTTTTTTGTTGTTTTTCTTGTTTTGTTTTTGTTTTTTTTTTTTTTGCTAATTATTGTGCCTCTTTGAAGGCCCGAGCGGCAGCTGGCGCGGCCACCCCCCCGCCTTTTGTTGTGCTAATTCC